TACCATATATATAAACTTATATATAGTACAATAGCCGAGTGGTTTTGATTGACACAAGCTGTCACTACAGGATGTCACAGCAACTTCTATGTATACTAGATCAAAATAGCCCAAACGGCAGTTTATATGAGTCATATACAGTTTTAAATTTTAATTTAAAATATTGTCAAAGACCATTTTGAGACTATCATTAACCTGTATAAACGTACTTGTATACATAATTGCTACATGTATACTTATGTACAAAATTAGTCTGGGCAATTTTATGACTGCCCTAAACATTGCTCTGTTTACAATCTCAAATTTTTATTGTCATGCACATTAAATTTATTAAGGGATTTACTACAATGTGTAGTTAATGTTATGACATCCCCTCTCACTGCAGTGTGTACAAAATAACTTTATTTTACTGCATCACCCCTAAAAATACTACCACAGAGATTACTATTATAATGTCACTTTATTAGTTTCAATTCACAATTTAAAAGCTAGTACTAAAGTCCAATAAGTAAATATTTTAGTGTACAATATAAATACACATATAAACCACAACTTGTAGTATACAATGTTCAAAGTGTTAACCACATAGACCAATACACCCAAGTGTGTATTACATAGTGAATAAACATTAAATCCATGCTCAATATGTGTATATGACCATTGGTCATCTACAACTTTCTTGGATAAACATGCATTATGCAAGAGTTTATTATAATAACAACGGTAGTAATGACAATCAAGACTAGCCTATAAATCTATCACTAATATTCTCTTTTCATTATCAATTTTTAGCTATTATAATGAAAACTGTCAGCTCTTTATCTAGTCTTACCTAATGCCGATTCAAATGCTTTTGTGATATTTACTATTTTAAAACTTAAAAATGTGTTTATTAGGGAAGCATAAAGTGAAAACACAAATATAGTCAGAAAAACCTAGTCCTATTCAAATACAAACATTACATTCTAATCAAACTCTTGAAAAGATGAAAAACATTATGATCTGCAATGCACACCATAACGCTACATAACCCCAGTCCCCCACCCCACTATTAGCAAAGGTAACTTAAGGACCAGGCAGTTCTTTTCAGAACTAAGTCTACATTATGCTGTGTACTTTTTGTATGTAATTAGACCTATACAATCAAATTCTAAAATATCTAAACCCCTTGGGGAGAGAATGAACAAATATGAAAAGTGGATATGTATGTCACACAAGAACAAACGACATGGCTGTCTAAAAACAGATGATAATTGACAGAAATAGAATGTTGTCTATTTCCTTGATAAACAAGTGACGTTGTGTCATCAAACAGGTACAATATACTGCCACTAAATCATGCAATACAAACCTACCATAGTTCCCAACCAAAACATGCTCTAATCGCTTTTTTGTTTAACAGATCAATTGGGATGACTATGTAACAAGTATTGCTTTATTTGTCATTCAAGTCTACATGTACAACATAGATCTCATTCAAAATAAATAAAGATCTTCCAGTCTGCCACAGACCAAGTAATCTTAGGGATTTAAACATCTAACAGGTCTCTGAAAATGATTACAAATCAATTATGTATGTCTGTATGGAAACGATTGATTTTCAAATTCGATCTGACAACAGGCAATACTTGATTAGATTTGATATAAATACAGTTGTGTCGACAAAACAATATACATATAGTGTTACTGTTAAATGTAGAAAGAAAATATGTGGTATGAAATTATCATTGTTATATCTTAATGCCTCCCAGCAGTAGAGAGACAGAGAGAGAGAAATGGGGTTTAACATCCACTCAACATTCAAATAAACTATGTTATTTCGAGACTAACACATGGTACAATTTTCTTTCAATAATTAGCTTTGGCTGTGGGAGGAAACTGCTGAAAAGACACAAAGTTGGACAAGCGACCCTACTCATTGTCATACATGTATATAGGCTTGGGATCAAAACAATGTCACTTAACTCAATGACAGACTTTATGATCTAAAGTGCACACTTTAGAACACTCAACCATCCAACACCCTCTCAACAGTCAAGTTACCAACCAGTAATTAAAGGGGCATTATGGAGATTAGATAAAGAGCTGACAGCTATCGCTATACTAGTTAAAAAATAGATAATGTAAAGAGAATATGCTGTAAATTTCAGTCAAATTGCTGCACTCTGAACCGAGATATTAGCGATTGAATTTAAGGCCTAGCTTCGATCATCATTACTAAAGTTGGTATGATAAAAAACAAAGTATTGATTATCCATTTTGACATTAAATCATCCATCAGAAAATGTATTCAAATCCAGTTAATATCGCAGGCTAGCAATGACGTCAAGAGTTGATTATGATCTGTATAAGTTAATTAATGTCTAATTAATAATTTAGATAACATTTCAGGCCTACCTACAATAGGCAAATTTAGCTCTTGTATAATGTATATTTAACTTAGGTACGCTAATAAGAAGGAACAAAGGCTACAAAAACTAAACACAATACTATCATCTTTTACTGAAGACCAAGGAACATTATTATTTTTGATTGATAAAAAATGACATACATTTACAATACAACATATGAAATTATTCTTAAAACTGTAAGTTTTGCCTCCAATTAGATACAAGAAAAACATTAAAGATACATTATGGGAGATTCGGTAACAAGTTGGCAGTTCTCACTATAATAGTTAAAAACTAGATAATGTAAAGGCAATTTGGTGAAAATTTCATTCAAATTGATCCACTATGAACCGAGAACTAAGCGACTGAAATTCCCATAAGCCTCGGTCATCATTACTAAAGTCAGTACGATAAACAGCATAGTCTCGATTATCCATTTAATCGTTTAATAGAGAAGGAAAGTTATGCAGTAAATCGGCTTACAATCCACTAAAGATCGCAGGCTAGTGCTGCCATCTAGAGTTGATTATGGCCTGGAAAGGTTAATTAATGTCTAATTAATAATTTAGATAACATTTCAGGCCTAAAGAAAGACCTGAAATAGGCAGATTTAGCTCTTGCATAATGCATGTTTAAACTAAATCACACGAAATGGAGATTAAACTATAACACATACATGTACTTATGGAAGAAGAATTACTTATTTATTTGGACAGCATTTCAAATAGTATCCTCTCAGTGTTTTCAAGCAAGTAGAGAAACAAATGTGTAGGACAATCATTTCTTACTAGTCAGCATCAACTGGGTTAATGTTGTTGTTCTTAGTGTTTAACATCTGCTACCACCGAAGGTGATATTGCAGACAAGTTGTCTTATTTTCATTTTTATTATCTTAGCGCACATGTAGGGATCTTTCCTGTGGGAAGAAACCAGAGTACCCGGAGTAAACCCATGATGGTGAGAAGGCGCCCCTATCTCCAAGCCACATTCGCTCACACCTGGAATCGAAACCACAACCGCAAGCCAGAGGTGACTTGCCAGCTAGATGTCGAAGCGCAACACTCTGGACCACTAGGCTAGGTGAATTAAATGAAATTATGGTAAGATTATGAACAAACATAAATGGACTGCAACTGTGTGAGAAATTGTCAACCAGACCAGATATAAAGTATAACCAGTGTATGGTTCTGAATTTATGATATTTTCGTCACATTTCCCCAGTACTTATCTATGAATAAATGAAATGAAATGACACATAGAAATTTATATAGGTACATAATAATTTTGTCTCTTACTAGACTAGTGAGCGAGGCATGTTTTCTAGTAGACTCACTAGAGATTTGTTAATTCACATTCACCTTTGACAGGTTCAAAAATCATCTACTCAATCTCTCTGGTCCCTTTAACAATGGGTAAAACACAATTTACTTTTACCTATTTGACCTTTCGAGCAAATTAGTCGAAAAATAATAACCCTACAGTAAGTCCCAGCCTCAAATAATCTCTCATGCATGTAATTCATAACTGGTGTTATAAAAATAAGTCTGTAAAGTTAGCTAGTCACATAGTCAACCATGCATACATGTATTATAATTTATCTTTATAACTATTACATTTTCATCTCATTATAAATACATCCCAGTCATTTCATATTCGCCATATTCATTATTTGACCTCAATAATCCATATAATTTTAATTTTTCGTTATCAAATTGTCACTGGTACAAGCTACGACTAAATACATGTTACACGAATTTTGTCGAACTGAAAAACCATAACCTAGCTATAAAATTTTGTAAATGTTAACATATGTTACCCAGATGTCTATATATACATGTATATATAAATTTGTAGGACAGAACCATATATGGTAATTTTTGTTTACTGACTTGCTGTACATTTCACTTTGTATTGTAGTATGTTTATGTATGTTAAACATATTGTAAGGCACACTTGTCTCCAGCTATATTCGTCTTAAAAATATTCTATTTTTAGTTCACTATTGCTTAGTCAAACACATCATTATTGCCCATTGGGAAAACTATGTGATTGACCATATACTTGCCATTATATGAAACAATTATAGTACATAAATGACGTGATCAAAAATTTTTATTTAATTTTCAATGCTAATACTTGATATTCTGCATGTTAACTAATGTTATATGTAATATTATACAGTAATCGTTAATCTTGTGTAGGCCTACTATCAAATAATAGTTAATCTCTTATAATCTGGTTGTATTTTGTGTATTAAAGGTCACAGTATACCATACAAATACATGTATGGTATATCATATATACCATAAAGCCAATAATGTATGATAGATACATGTAGGTTTACAGGGTTAAATCTTAATAATGAGGTTTTGGCTTCATGCCACCATGTTGTGACAGGTGGCATACAGGAGGCAGGGTATGCTTACTCCTTCTTGAACATGTGTCACTAAATGCTAGTGTGCTTATATATTTGAGGTGGATTTGATTATTATCCTGTGGCACTTCAAGGAACTAACACCTGTTGATCTTTCAATTTGCTATAGGTACTGTTATGTTTATTGTGATGTGTTCAGTTTTGCTGCTGTATTGTCAGTTTAATTTAATACTTACATTTTAGCTTCTTCTAAATGACAGAGATATTCGTAAGCTATGTTACTTTTTCGCAGTTCGTCCATTTCATCTGCTGTGAGTCGTTCATCATCAATTGCTGCAATAAATATTGTATTGTTTACATTTTTAAAATATCATTTTATTATTATGTTGATGTCATGATTTTATTTAGCTTTTCTATCTTTATATTTCAGTGCAAAAATTAATTTCTGAATAAATTTTTCGTAGGAAAGCCGTGCCTTTGCGCCTCGAAAACATCGAAACCCTGATTTTGGTCAAAATTACATCTTTACTTTATTGAAATCTAGATATCCTAATTTGGTAATATTAAAGTACCAGTAGGTCTATCTAGACTGATTTGATTTATATCTTTATTTACTCTTGAAAATTTTAAATATGAGATATGTCACTTTGCATGCACACCGATGATTCGCAAGTTTAAAAATATCAATCAATGAACACTAATTTGATAATCAAAAATAAAGACAAGAAGCAAAAAAATTGTTATAATAACTAAGAATCTTTTTCATATTTTGACATCCCTAGCAATTAATCCAATTCCAGTCAATCAATCAAGCATGCAATGTCAAACAATCAATCAAACAATTATTAATAGACTCACTTCTATACTTTGCTGCCCCACCGACATGAGGAGCCTGTGCCCCATTACCTTCATCGTGGGATGCCATTCTTTTCTGAAATAAATTTATTTTCAGCTACTGACATCAAAACAACGCGACATGTGGAGTAGTTTGCCGAGATGAAGGATGGATGTCCACGATGACAAAAAAGTGACAAGCACTCACTTATTTATTTATCAACCCAAACTCGAATAAACACACAAAAATAAAAATCAAATTAAAAACCACATGGTGTACACTCTTTACTGGTAATACTCCAATAAAATGTCAATAATAAATTGCTTTATAAATACAAATATTCCTTAGCATACGCGCGAACTGTCTTTTAACTTCAGTGAATGAAAGGCGCGACTACTGATTTGAACATTGTTCGCGGAATTGTGGGTATACAGACCTATATACCTTGACCTCTGACTTTTGACACAGTTACAGGAACGACCAACAGAGTGCGCCACTGTTGAGTTGTTTACAAATGGATTCCAGATGGTAGCAACCTCCCGATGAAAGTTTTAAAACAGCCTTATATAACTTGTATGAGGTTTGTACTTGACGGAAACAACATAAACCACTATTCATAGGCCCTATTTGTTGATGATTCAATAGAAAGAACTTGAACTTGTCAATCAATCCACATCTAGAGTCTATAGTCTATACGAATCTTACAAGTTACTTACAGCCAAAATTGGCTGAAATTTATTGCAACCATTACGGTAAATGGTGACATCACTGTGGATGGAGTCCATCCTAGTGGAAAATAATAAGAGTTATTTTTTGTAAGCTAGCTAGTAAACGCCTTGTTAATAAAAAAAAATTACTGTTCCATATTTTCGTAAACTCCCAGTAAGTTCAAGTAGAGCTAGGGATATTTTGCTTTTTCGATATAGAAACCTCAGTCACTCACAGACATAAAACCTGACAAAAATACTCTTATCTCCAGAAAGTATCGAAAAACCGAACATACCATAATATATTATGTTGGGGTTTTTTTTTGGGGGGGGGGGGGGTCTGGATATTTTCTGAAAATATTTCTTCCATTTTATGTTATTTACGATATTTTATTGGATTTTTTAAACAATATTTTATTTAGAAACTGAAAGGGATTGAGGAACAGACATTGACCTCTTTATTTTTTAATGATATGGTAAATAGATATTGTTATAAACTCCAGAGTGTTCATTCCAGAAGTATAGGGTAGGACTAAAGATTGGTATATTCATCATTATATAAGAGGATTATCAGTCCAAAACTATCAACACATCGTAACTGCCAGTCGATAAAATATCATTTTATAGAATTGGTAACAGACCTTTATAATAGACCATTATAATTGACCACTTATCCAGTGGCCAACATCAAACCCCTTGAAATTGTCAATCAGAAATGAGAAAAAAGGTCTCAAACTAGTCCACAAACTATGGCCACTAAACAGGGAATTTTCTTTCTGTTTTTTTTTCCAGATTAATTCTGAAATGATTAGAAGTCTAGAACCCTAAACATCAAATTAAATATTGTCAACATTATTTTTAGATCTATTTATTTTGAAATAAACATATACCACCAGGTATTTTTATACTCCTACATCAGTAAGATTTTGAAGTATCTCATATTTTTAGCATCTTAATGACACAGCACACATCTTTTAACTTTGAATAATAAACTGAAGTCTTAAAGTAAAATATTCTACATACTATAATAATAAGGAATAATCTGTTGTACTTGTCAGTATGGAAAATATCAGATATGCAGATTTCCTTGGTTTGGACTGTGGATAAGGAGTTATCCCCCTTTAGTCTTCAGGATTTACAAATTGTTGGGGACATCATTATTTAGTATATTATAATAATTCATTTATTTATTTAATAATAAAATACTTATTAATGGGTATTTATAGATTGTGTATATTCATATGATTCCACATGTTCCACATTTGTGGTTTAGCTGTATCAACTACTTGTTTAAGCTTACACAGCAGTGCATGCTCATTGCTCGTTTATTTAGACAACCACATTGGCTGAAATTGTTGATGTTCTCTGTATTGCTCTTTTGATTGGCTCTATGTGTAAGATAATATTATGCATTGTCAGCTTGATTATCCACGCATCTAACATGATGTTATGCCTTTATGGTCACAAAAGATGTATAATAACGATGTTATGGTGGCCGAGGTCTGTCATTAAATCAAGTGGCATGGTTTCGATTCCCCACGTGTACATGACAAGGAGTAGGGTCACCTGTCCCAACGTCCTCTGGTTTCATCTCACTGCTAAAGACCCCTACATGCTAACGAATTATTGAAACAAAATTTAACCTAGTTTGTTGAGGTTGATATGGCCTATATAATATTTTTTATGACTTTGAATATGTTGTCCAAACATTGGTTATATTTTAATGAGCTGTCAAAGAAATATAATATCTTTAAGTAGAATGAAAAAAGAAATTGATTTCTTTTGTGCTCGGTATGTGTTAAGACCTGTGTTTTGACTAGTTTTAATAGCATCTTTATTAGTTGGGGGGAGGCTGAGTCTGTCCTTGAGTCAAATGGCGTGGTTTCGATTCCTCACTTGTACATAACAAGGAGTAGGGTCGCCTGTCCAAACTAGTGGGTTTACACTGGGTCCTCTGGTCTCCTCCGACTGCTGAAGACCCTACGTGCTAGTGAATTATTGAAATAAAATTTAACCATGTTACTCCCGAAGTGACCTAGTTTGTGTCAGTGCTCGCTCTCTCTCTCTCTCTCTCTCTCTCTCTCTCTCTCTATAATAATAATATCAGACAGTCCAGTGTAGTTGTCTGTCTACCTTAAATAGTCCCTGAATAAAACCGAATAAGGTGGACCTATGAAGTTTCCACTGATGATTGTGAAGCCAGCTTTGACCGAGCTTCATTCTCACTCCATTAACTTGCCTAATCATTTTGGCTCCTGACCCATGGTGTTTGGCAATCTTGCAAATAACTATTAAACTTAGAATAGAAATATTCAGAACTTCTCAAAAAAATTTTTTTTAAAAAAGGCTGCCCATAACTTAAAAATTATGAGTGGAAAGATAACTCAGCAAAGCATGTTTAAAATTTACAATACAAAAATTTTGAAATTCCCTAATTAAGAATTCCATTCTCTCCTGTATAAAAGTCACAGGTTTTATTAGTTCCAACAATGATATGGGAGCCGTTTTTTTCTCCCATCTGAATGACTAACAGCTGTCCTTGTCACGCCCTCCATCCTGCACACTGACAAGACGGAACTATGCCGGAAAACCCTTAGGAACTTTCTCGAACAACATTGGGAACGAACCTGAGACCTCCTGGCTAGTGCGCCAGCATCTTACTCACTTAGCCACTGTGGCTCCCGGAGCAGAACCATAGGACATTAAACCCCATTTCATTTCATTTTCCTACTTTCTGCACTAATCGGACTATTGAAGATAGGCATACACTATGCTGAGTGACATGAAGGAAATTTTCAATAGACTGTGGCATTTCTTCATCAAATTTCAACTGTGAAGGATTCTTTTATGTACACGCCAATGTGTACTCAGGAGCTTGGGTAGACACTGTTCTTTGCCAGGCCCTTTGTCCTGCACTACCGATAGGGAGAAGCCACACAGCAAAATCCCAGGGAACTTTCTTGACCAACACCAGGATACATGTAGTGTACATAATCATAGTATTGAGAGGAATATGGCCGATAACCTGACACCCCAATATCACAACATTTTAATCAGACAATACAACATTTTTACCACACTGATCAGCAGTGAATATTCGCTAGGCCGCGACAATCACTGATAAGGATGACATCGATGCGACTTAATGAGCCACAAATATTAACTTTTTTCCAACGACAAATTAAATTCTAAAACATTTTTTTATGTATTAGAAAAATAAATAAAGACGTTTGAAGTATCTGTAGGTAAAAATTATTTCCTATTTTAGTGTAAATGGGTATTAAAATAAGTAAAAGGTGCCATTCTGCTCGAATCAGTAACATCTTATGTAAACAATGCACGCGCCATTGAGCCAATGATTGATGCCGCGTGATATGCCATAATGTGTTGAAGGCAGTCATCTTTTACAGAGATATTAGAAGACTTTCCTAATACTCTGTGAAACAGATTGCATTTTTACACGACATTACAATTTTTTAATGTCATGTTGTCGGGTGAAAATGTTGTATTGTTTAGATGAAATGTTGTGATGTTGGGTTGTCGCCTTAAGAAGGGCTACACCACAACGCCACGACATGATACCAATGAGCCACCATACTTTAGGGTAATCGTAAACACCTCAATCCCTACCCCCCACCAAGATACATTCATGTAACTTTATCGTACTGCAACTATAAATATCTTAGCAATCTAAAATCTTTGGTAAACAAAAGAATACAAGCTGCTGTCATATATTAAGTAACCCTATATAACAGACACTTTAATGGGACAGGGGGTTGTGTTAGATGGCCAAATGGTTAGCATGTGCGCGCTGTATCGTAAGTTCCGCCATTGAGTCAACTGGCGTGGTTTTGATTCCCCGGTTGTACGTGACAAGGAGTAGGGTCGCCTGTCCAACATCGTGGGTACTCTTGTTTCCTACCACTGCTAAAGGCCCTATGCGCAAGCAAATTATTGAAATAAAATTGTAATAAAATAGTCCTGAAATGACCTAGTTTGTGACGAGTGTATGTTAAACCCCATTTCTCTGTCGCTCTCTTTAATGGGACATACTAGATCTGTGCTTTCTTAAGACTACAATAATAATGTTCTATAATAATGTTCAACATAAGATATTATGTTGATAAGGACCCTGAATAGAGCTTATAATAGAAGCATTCAATACAGCAGGATATGAAAAGCTTTTCATTTTTCCACATTCGATTTGTATATGGTCTGTATAATCTATTGACAACAAAGGTGAGGATTGCTTTCAACTCTCTAATCCAAATAGTGATAGCCTACACAATAGACAATACTCTGTTCTGTTGATCTGTCACTATGCAGTTTATTTTTATTTTTCCGCGATTTCAGATCAAGTTTTAAAACTATAAGCAGACTTTTCTTCAGAAGAAAAAGGGATTTAGTGTAGAAATTGATATAAAAAGGGACTGGATATTTTATATAAGGTCAGTTAATCTTTTAAACTTTGATTATTATCAGTTAGGTGTATGAACTTTAATATTTTGACATAATATCCGTAAAATTATTTTTTCTGATATCTTTGAAATCATTATTATTATATCTCAAATTACTAATAATAGGATTGATGAGGGAAATTTGATATTATTGAAGGTTCAATACAACACAAGTTGTAACTTGTTATATATTGTGTTTACAAACATAGAAGTATTATTTTTCAATTAGTTCACATTAAATACACACAGTGGCGTAGCAAGAATTCTCAGCTTCCGAGGGCAAAGACATAATTTCAGTCTATTTTACTAAATTTGGTTAAATTACGAAAATGAAATATATTATTAATTGCACCAAAGCATAATTATAATATTAGGAAGAGGTGTTAATTAACAGGTATTATAAGCTAGAGCCCAGAGAAAAATTTGCACCCCTTCCAACCGGCCCTCACAGGTGACTACCCTACCACCACACCACACCCGCTTAACTTTGCTACACCCTGCTGGCATTACAAACAACTAATTCTTATATTATTAACCCTTTAGCAGCTGGTACATGTAGATACCTGGTATTGACTACCACAGTTCCCTGGAAAAATTGAGACAAAAGTAATCTTCTTTGCAATTAGTCTTGTTGTTCACTTTAGAAACCATTTTAAACTACTGCTCCCTGTACTGCCACAAAGTCATAAAAGCAGTTCCTTAACTAGTTCACCGCTTTTCTCGTGACTCCGGTGGTGTAAGGGGCTAGATCCTCATCCCTACATCCTATTTCTATTGGCATCTAATAGATACAATTCTTTTATCATTCAGGATTGGATCTCTAAATTAACCAAAAAATGAGTTCTTCTAGATCAGTACGCTATGATAAACCTCCTGCTCCGACCGTATATGCACCTTATGAAACAAATCAAGACTTCACAGCTATTGCAGTGGGTGGTAGTAGAGAGCAGAAACGAAGAAGTGATGGACCATTATTAATACGTCATCAAGAGGAACCTTATGTTCTGCGTCATTATGAAGAACCTTCCAACAATCGTCAACAAGAAATGGCACCAATTATTATACGTCAGGAACAACCAACACAGCTGCCTCCTGTTATTGTTCAACGCGATAGCGGTTACGATCAAACACTGCCCTTAATACAAGCAGACATGAACAATCATTTGGATGCCCTAGAAGACCGAATTTCTCAACAAGAAGTTAATACACAGGGTTTATTACAAAGAACAATGAAAATCAAAGAGGATGTGATAGATAGTTTGAATTTTACACATGGTACATGGAACGATGAAAAACATGCTCGTACATTACTTCAAGAACATATTCGTAGTATAACCGCAGTTGTTAATCGGCTTAATCATGACATATCAGTAGGTATTATTGTTGACCTCCAACCCCCTTTTGGAGCCATGAAAACTTTTTAGCTGAGAAAGTTCTTCAGGATTTTGCTGCCTGGTTTAGGATGGTGAAATGAAATGAGATAAAATGGGGTTTAACGTCCTACTGTTCTGCTCCAACTGGGCTAATGAAGACGGCCATATGCCATACAGTGTGCCATGAGGGAAATTCCAACTGCCAAGGGTTCTTTTACGTGGCCGGGATTGAGTACACAGGACCTTGGTTGTCGTCCCATCCAAACGACTATACGTTGCCCTGTGCCAGGCCATCTGTCCTGCACCACTGACAAGGGGCAACCATGCCAGAAAATCCTGATGAACTGTCTCCGCAAATGCAGAGATCAATCACAGGCCCCCCAGGTTAGCGGTTTAGGATGTAGAGTCTGGCAAGTCTGGACAATAACAAAAAATCCAGTCCATGTGTGTACTCATTGGTGTCCACATACAAGAAGCCCTGACATTTGGAATTCGATGAAGAGTAGGCATAAACTCTGTGATCCTGTCATACATCTCCCACATTTCACACTGTATGACATATGTCTGTCTTCATATTCCCAGTTGGTGTAGAAAGTAGGATGTTAAACCAGAGTTCATTTCCAACCCTTTTCACCTTGTAAAAAATGTAATGATGAAACTGGTTCCTTCTACTATGAACAGTGTGTACACCATTAAGGGCATTGCAGCAGGAGTGTCATTACAAAAGCCAGTGTTCCATACTGACCCAACTAAAATTAGTAATGAAACTAATTTCCTCTCAATCTTTTCCAATAAAATTTAATCGTATAGAGTTTGTATCATCACTAATCAATCAAAAACAACATTACAGATAAACCCATTTAAAGATACATTATGGAAGATTAGATAAAGAGCTGGCAGTTCAACTATAATAGTTAAAAACTAGATAATGTAAAGGGAATTTGCTGAAAATTTCAGTCAAATTGATCCACTCTGAACCAAGATTTTAGCGATTGAATTTTAGGCCTAGCCTCAATCATTATTACTAAAGTCGGTACGATAAAAAAACATAGTCTTGATTATCCATTTCATGATTAAATCATGAAAGGAAGTCGAACAGCAAATCGGAACCTAATCCAATAAACATTGCAGGCTAGCAATGACATCGAGAGTTGATTATGGTCTGGATAAGTTAATTAAAGTCTAATTAATAATTTAGATAACATTTCAGGCCTAAAGAAAGACCTGCAATAAGCAGATTTTTCTCTTGCATAATGTATGTTTAAAAAAATTTATTTTAAGGTGTAACTCTGCGGAGCTTAAATTTATTTATATTCCAAACTTTCATGAAATGAAGATTGACTCTAAGTATTAATATTCATTGTCCATCTGAAAATATGACACAAAAAGTATATTGTTCTATTTTGTAGGCAATAGAAGATTCTCTTAGACTAAGAGATGGTGCAACTATAGGTCAGAATAATGCCCTGAAGAACCTGGAAGTCCATCATGTTGGAGCGCTATCTGATGTACGAGGTAGAATTGTACGATGTGATACATCTATTGGTCGTCTGGGCATAGAAGTCAAAACTTGTGTTCAGTCTATCAGAACAATATCACATCAACAACAAGAATTGGCCAATAGAATGTCAGAAAGAATGAACGGAATTGAAACTCAGGTACACATAATTCAAAAATACTCTTCAAAAAAAAGAAAGGTATCGTGACATTTCGTCGTCGGTATACCCTCGCTCTATCATTGCCTCGTTGCAACAGGAATCGCGACTCGTATTTTAAGTCCCATATCTCGTATCTAATAGGAGCAGACGTGGTGGCTCTGTGAGTAAGGCACTGGCTCACTAACCAGGAGGTCTGGGGGTTCGATCCTATTGTTGGTCAAGGAAGTTTTTGAACTTTTTTTTTCCCGTTTCAGTGGTGTAGGACAAACAAGGACAGTGACTAGTTATTCAGATGGTACAAAAAAAAGATGTCCAGTGTATACTCTGGCATGCACGTTAAAGAACCCTTGACAGTTGCAATTTGATATTAGCGTAGGCTGTAGCAGGCATGTCTGGACAAAATTACTCTCATAGCACACAGTATGGCATAGACACATCTTTATTCGTCCAGAAAAGTAGAATGTTAAACCCCATTTATTTGATTTAATAGATCGCAGCTGTAGTACAACATATAGAGAGAATAGCTGGTGAAAGTAGGGTAAAGATTCAACACGTAGAAGGTGATACATCAAACTATCTCACTATGTTAGATGCTAAAACTAGACATATGATTGAAGATTTACAGAATTCGTTGACTACTATGCAAGCCATGACGGAGACAGAAAGAGAAAGAATGGAAGATAGAATTATAGCTCTTATTGAACAATATGGTGGTAGCAGTACTGATTTGGTAAGAAATGCTTAATTCCCATCAAACAATTATGTTTTCTCTGTTTTATAGTAATTAATACATTTGTAATTAATTTCACACGCTTATGTTTTCATTCCAATTTTGACTACTATATATAGCCATTTCACTTTACTTGTCTGTTTATTACATTTCCAGAAATAGTTTATTTATAAAAGGTTTTTTTTAGTTCAATATGCTAACATTGAGATTTGTTGTAGGACATAGCCAACCATGACTTACACCAGTATGATACAACATGTGGGAATTATTCCCCCCTTTTTTCTTGGATCACTCACTACAGACCGGGACTGAACAGCAGCACAGTGGATGCTTAAGGCTGACCCCCAGATCCATTCACTTATTGCTTGCAGTTTATGTCCTGTCTCCACAGGTTTGCGTGTAGTGCGGTTCCCCTGGCTGGACTTACCGGTACTATTTAAGATAGGGGAAAACACAATTAAATTTCATGCCTTAGTTTGTTTTGGGAAATTACACGTCTCCCTGAACTAAACATATCCACACAGTGTTAAGATAAAACTTATTTTGTGTTCAATATGGACATGCATATGATTTTTACCAATATCAAGGTGGGGTGTTGGCTGATCGTCAATTTCAAAATTAAAGACAAATGTCACATCGAGCGAAGTGAGGCACGATATATGTTGAATGAAATATTGACTGCTTTAATTAGAAAGCAAAATTTTAATGCATATTATTATTACCAAATAACAAAAATTCATATTCGTATCTCTTTTCTCTCATTTTTTTTTTTTTATATATATAATAACAAAAGACAGAAATTTCATTCAGGATGAAATCTTCAAATGTTGTCGACATCTATTCTTGTTTATCTTGACGAATTACTTGATCAGTGATAGTATTGACAAAAATTTTATTTCAGATTGAAGGAAATTGTTTTGTATATATTTTCAGGAAAGAATAGAAAGAAAGATTGATGATAATTATCATTTTCTAGATATGAGAATATTGAAATTAGAAGATCGACCAATACAGGAAAACTCTACACAGATTATTGATATACAGAATGTAAGTATTGTGGATCATTACGGGAGCCACAGTGGCTCAGTGAGTAAGACGCTAGCTCACTAACCAGGAGATACAGGGTTTGATCCCAGTGTTGCTCAAGGAAGTTCCCTGGGATTGCCCATCGCAGTTCCCTGGGGATCACAGGATCATTCCTGGTGTTGGCCGAGAAAGTTCCTCGGGATTTTCTGGTGTTGTCTCCCCTTGTCAGTGTGGCAGGACAGAGGGCTTGGCAAGGACAGCATTAAGTCGTTAGGATGGGACAAAAAACTGAGATCCTGTCTACAAGTTGACTTGCTCGTAAAAGTACTAAAAGAATCCAACTGTCGGGTGTAGGCAGTAGTGCTGCCGTACGGGCAAAATTTCCCCCATGGAACACTGTATTATAGACCTCCAACCTCGTGGGTTTTCTCCGGGTCCTCCTGTTTCCTCCCACTTCTAAAGACCCCTACGTGCAAGCGAATTATTGAAATAAAATTAAACCATGTTAGTCCCGAAATGACCTTGTTTGTGTCGAGTGGATGTTAAACCCCATTTCTCTCTCTCTCTATTATAGACCATTTGGTGCAGAAAAGTAGGATGTTAAACCCCATTTCATACCATTTGTGAAACATAGCATGGATACCGGTATGTCAAAATATGTTTTCACAAGAAATCTGAATAAGCATCATCCAGTTAACATATCTATTTAATTTGGTTGTAATCAATTGAATGGGTTTGGAAAAGTAGATGAAAATATCTTAAACTGCGTCTTCAGTGCTCTCCGGCCCCACTCCTTTCATGCCAAATAAAATCATTTAAACAAATCTTGACAAGCATCCACCCAATCAACTTATCTACTAAATTTGCTTGAAATTCATCAAGCAGTTTAGAGAAAAACTTTAAAAGCCCTGAAATTTATCCCAACGCTATGGGGTCAAGCAAATCTGAATTGTTAGCAATGTGTCCCTCAAAATAAAATGAGGTACCAGCAGTGGCGGCGCCAGGGGGGGGGGGGGGGGGCCAGGGGGGGCAAATGCCCCCCCATTAATCTGGTCTGCCCTCAGTTTGCCCCCCCAATAATTTTAGAAAATAAAAAAAAGTATTTGTGATACATTACGGTAATCAATACCTTCTATGGTGAATAAATCCCACATCCCCACTCAGTCATAAACTTGCATGTTGTAGAGCATTTCCGACAGTCTATTTTTCAAAATTTTCTTGGCAAGGTCCCAATGGACTCGTTACTTTGGGGCTCACAAGGGGAATTCGTTGAGGTTTGCAAGTCCGTTCGTTTGACATTTTGTTCTCTAGTCGGATATAAACTAGTGATCAGGCGACGAACGGTATCTCGGCAGATCTATTTATCTCGACGATCGGTGCCTGACAGAATACTGTAAGACAGCATTTCCGGCAGTCTATTTTTCAAAATTTTCTGTGGGAGGACTCCCTACTTTGACTCTCGTGAATGGGCTTCATCGTGATTCGCAAGTCCGTTCGTTTGACACTTTACCTCATCGATCAGTGCCTGAAATACTGCCAGGCTGCATTTCCCCGCAACATGCCTTTGCCCCCATAACCTTGGACTTTGCCCCAGCTTTGCCCCTCCAATCACCGACGGCTGGCGCCGCCACTGGGTACCAGTAATACCAGTTACTGGTATTTTGTAAGTGATAGCTTAGCCATTTTGAAAAAGATCAGTCATTTATTGAACTTCATATTTTGAATTATTGGATTTTTTTAAATTGTAGAATGTTGAGGCTTCAGTCCTTAAGAAAATGGATGCGAGAATTCTGATGAATACAGAAGACATTGCTCGATTAAAACGTGAATGTAGGGAAGGTTTCGTAGTTATACAGGAGAGTATCACAAACGCTAAATTAGTCAATGATGGTAAACGTAAAATTTTAGAAGAACAATTAAGGAAAGAAATTGGACATTTGAGAAAAATGGTTGTGCTTGTGTGAAAAGGTTTCATGTCTTTTCTGAAGAATCAAAAAAACTTGAAAAAATACGGAAAGCAATGATGTGATGTATGACAAGATCAGGGAGAATCAGAGCTATATTTTATAAATTGATATTGATTCTTTCAATGTGCTAGAGTGTTTAATATACAATAAGACCTCACTATATCACGCTTTTGCTATAAACTAGGTTTGGGTCAAAGGTGGGAAACGTATGGCTCCTAACATTGTTAGAGTGAAGCCCTTGTTTATTTTACATATCAGCATCTGATATCATGCTCGTAACTCATTACAGTTAAGCCCTGTCATGGTGAAATACAAAATAGTGTAACAGCATCAAATCTCTACAAATAACGTGTTCATAAATGTTTCATAGAAAATTTGCTCATTATCACAGGAAAAATAACCCAACCATCTAATTAGATCACTGTAAAACAAAAAAAATAGCTCAAATATATAAATAAATTTGTGAAGTGACCCCATCTCTACTGTTGAAAATTTCATTAGAAGTCAACAAGTTTGACAGTATTTTTTTAAATATGTGATTATTTTATATCTACTTGTACATGTATTCATATTTACTCATTAAATGTAAAATCAGATCTTTCCAAAAATAATTCTGATTATTGTGTCAGATTGTCCATTTGTCCTAACATTTGTTTGTAGACACTCTAGAGGTTGCAATTTTTATCCGATTTTGATGGAACTTAAAATGTATTTTTATATCCCAAATCTCTCTGATGGGTTTGATTTTGGCACATATCGAACTGCAACTTCATGGATTCTGGCCTCTGATTGTATACCATATAGAGGAAATTTGTGAACGAGATAGAGGCCAATGTTTTTAACAGATCTTTTTCAGATTAGGTGTAAAGCATTGAGTTTATGAGAGGAGGAACCCTATCAATATTTAGGGTTCCACAAAATTTCGTTTCTGAGTAATTCATCCATGCAGAAAGCCTTCTGAACGCGATGGAGGCTGCAGTTTGTTTTTTTTAACAGATTTATTTAGAATTTGGTGTGTAGCATTGGGGTTATGAGAGGACGAACCCATGTCGCAATCCATGACATTCCGTTCCGAAGTTACCTCCCATGTTCTGAAAACCTGGTGAAAGTGATAGCGGCTACAGTTTTTAACAGATTTATTTCTAAATCGATATGAAACATTGGAACAATGACAGAATGGGCCCTATTGATTTTCCCTGTACTCAGTCCATCTATTGCAAAATGTGGGTGTATCTTGTATGGAAAATACTTGTTAATACATACTGCACTGAACTTAGGGAAATACTTTTTATCTAGCTTGCTGAACAATGAATTAATATGCTTTTACATAACTTCTGTATTTTAATGTATAATTCATGTATGTAAACATTTGTATGTTTTATTTATTGTACAATACAGTAGTAGTTAACCATATTAAATCAATTTTTTGTTATATAAACTGTTAAGGGGGGCTTATGTCGACCTTGCAACTGAAAGCAACTGGCGTTTCGGCAACTGGGAGCAACTGAAAGCAACTGAATGCAACTGAAAAAAGTCGAACTGAGCGCCTCTTACAACTCAAAGCAACTAGTTGCACATGTTGAACTTTCTGCAACTGGCTGCAACTAGCGGCAACTAGTTGAAGTCGACATGAGCATTCTTGCAACTGGAGTCAACTTGTTTCTCTGGAAATAACATCACGTGATAAGAGACACGTGTCATGTGACTTTATAAATAAGCAAATGGAAGCGAACGAAGACACCCACTTTTCAAGTTTTGATGATGTTGACAATAATATACTAATAGAATTGTAGCAAGACCGACCATGCCTTTGGGTTGCTTCTTCTAAGTAATTCGCCATTTTGTTAATCACGTGTGATTGCTATCAGTTCCGAGTCGACATAAGCGCTCCGAAATGAGTTGCTCCCATTTGGGTTGCAAAATCGACATAAGCCCCACTTTAGTATTTGTTATTGTTATTTATTATAATTCTTTGTTAGTTTTATTGTTATCTCTATTTTTGTCAAATTGATTATAGATATGTATTCAATAGCTGATAATTCAATAATACAGTTCAATATAATAGAATACATTTTTTATACATAATATTTAAAAATATATATTCTATAATAGATGATAAAGTAATAACATAAAATACACAATACTATTTCCATAGAATATAATAAGAGTATACCATCAAATATAGGATATATCAAATATACAATACATTTTTTATATACCATCCAATCCAATAATATTATATTTAATATGCAATACATGTTAATAAGATTATACCATCACTTCCAATAGAATATATTCAATGTATTCAGTACCATTTTAAGCACTGTTATAAGAAACAATAATATATTTAGTATAAGATAATATCTCCCTATAGTATATGTATAGATTAGAATAATATATGTTATGTGGACATCCCAATTCTATAAAATATATACCGTTCATTTTGATAATGTATTCACATTTGTTCTATTTAGGATATTTAATTGAATATATTTATTATCTGTTGATAATGTTAATAAAAATATATCTTCAGATTTCAGTGTATGCTATATATACATTTATGTATGATTTTATGGTTGAGGGCGAGTCATTAAGTAATGTATTGATACAGCACAAGGACATTAGTCCAAGTGTTGTTTTAATATATTACACAATGTCTTGATCAAGACCATTAAACAACTTGAAATACAGACACTATCCCGCACGTGCATTTCAATGAAATCGTCACTCAAGGCCAATATTTCATCTGGTATATAAATAATGTACGATTGGCATGTTGCTCGTACCATTGCCAACATCAAAGGATGAGGTTACATTGTATTTTAATTGACAATAAAAGAGTCTTCCACTGTGATTGTGATTTGTAAAAGTGTTCCATAATATGTATTTGTAAAAGTGTTCCATAATATGTAAATCATATTTAATTACAGTATTTTTACTGATTTGATCTCTTTTCCATAGGTGAAAACCAAAGTAGTGATCTATAACAAATATGTCTCATCTTAAAATTTAATTTTACAATACACGTTGTACATGTATTCAGACATTTTAAATATGGTATCTTCCTAACAAAACAAGTATTATATCGTATATTTAATATTTAGTTAATTGTTAGAAATATGTAATCCTTCGATCTGTGATATAAGTTCTTGTTAAATTTTAAATAATTTATAATATTTAGTATTTACATTATTTATAGTATCATTCAGAAATTAGTATATATATATATGACATAATATGAAACATTTATTTCTGAAATAAATCTTTAAACCAGTTAAAGATTATGTTATTTTGTAAATCTAAGGGAAAATTATTTTAGACACTGAAAGATGCAAAGGCGTTGCTGGACAGCTAGCTTAATGAGTGTCCGACCCCGATTGATTACACCACACAACCATATTTTTTTTAAGTGTACAACTGGCTATCAATTTATTAGATTTAGTTGGAGATGCACCTTAAAATTGTTACAAAACGTCTTTAAATTGTCTCCCTTTATCCTAACCGACGAATTTGGATTATAATCAATGATCCAAACAATGACGGAGCAAAGGGGTGGGGGGATTTGCGAGCCAGCGTCCTACCCACTTAGCCATCGTGGCCCCGGAAATGAAATGAAATGAAATGGGGTTTAACGTCCTACTGTTCTGCTCCGACTGGGCTAATGAAGACGGAATATCAAAAGGAATCCAGATCTTTGGAATATAAACATAGAACTCGGATAAAAATTGTGACCTCTACACTATTTGCGTACAGGGAGTGACCATTTTGTCGGGCAGTTTCGCGAAATTAAAACCCAACAGTCATTAGGTTGTAACAGTGATATAAATAAAATAAAACCAAGTACGAACAATCCAAACCATTAGGCAAAATTCGAAGTCCTAAAAAACAAAAACCGTATAGGCAAAATAGTGTAATATGGCAAAATAGTGTAATCAGCATATGGACTGTTCACCGTGTACAAAATACACGACAAACAGTGGTAACAGGTGTCCGGAAGAGTAAGCTTACCCTGCCTGGCGCCACACCCGCCATAGCTGCATCCAAACTATTAGGCGAAATCTCGGTAAAATAGCGTGATTGGCCAATGGACTATCGGTATGCAAAATGCACGTGATGAACAGTGTTAACGATGTAGTAGACAGATATTATCAGGGAGATTGTATACGCGTCAATTAAATATATCTAGAATAATAGCCGAGAGAGACATGTTATATTTACCAATCAAGTCAATATGACGCCCATAAAACTTTTTAAAGGTTTTAATAAGTTTAGTTCGCAAATATCCCTGAAGTTGAAGCTTAGATGACAAATGCCTCGATCAAAATAAAATGAACAAGCTCTCGCGTAACGAATTAGTTGAGACACAAACACTCCATAAGCTGGTGATATTGGAATGTTACTACTAATAAATGGAAAGTTAACAGTCGGAAAGTCAAAGTCATCACGTTTATCGTACAATTTAACACCAAGTTTATGGCAATTGTCAAAATCGAGACGCAGATCCAAGTAGGATTAAGCGTCATTGTCACTGTCAGTAGTGTTTTTAATTTCGAGCTCATCAGGATATATGAATTCTACATAATCACTAAATTTTGGATTATTCAGTGATAGTACATCATCGATATATCGATAAGTGAAATTAAAATGTCTGACTAATCGTTTATTGGATTTTACGAGTGCCTGTATGTAATCGGCTTCGTAGGAATAGAGAAACAAATCAGCAAGCAAAGGTGCACAGTTGGTGCCACGGTTTATAAAAAAAAATAAAAAGTGTGACCTCTACAGGGAACACAGACTTAAAATGCGTTTTTTCGTACAAGCAGGGGTCATAATCCAGGAAGTTACGGTTCGATATGCGCGAATATCGAAAAGAACCGAGATCTTTGGGTTATAAACTATAAACATACCTTTTAAGTGTCATCAGAATCGGATAACAATTGTGACGCTAGCTAAAACTTGATTTTTCGTACAATCAGGGGCCATAATCCATGAAGTTACCGATACGTACCAATAGCCAAAGGAATCTTGATCTTTAGGATATAAACATATATTTCACGTTTCGTCAAAATCGGATAAAGAAATTGTGACCTGTACGTAGACTGTCCACAAAAAAATAACACATTTGAAATGCATTTTATAGTTTGTTTGAAAACTTATATTACATAGTATACAATTATGTGAATGATATTTAAAATTGTTTCACTTCGCACTGTCTTCGGCTTTTAATTTATATTGAACAAGGGAATCACCAGTGTCGCTATATGAGTGTTCTCACTGGCATGCAGGTTAAAGAGACCTTGACATGAGTAGGCGGAATCGCCGTTATTCGGACAAATTTCTTCCTCACAGTACACTGCATTATCCCGATTGGTGCAGAAAAGTAGGACGTTAAACACCATTTTAGCATAAAGTCTAGTAGGATATGGAGAGATAAGTTGGTACTCTGTGACTTTAAAAGGAATTTCTGCTTGGTTGTCTATTAGGCGCCTTATTATGATTTTGTTCGACTATGGTCTAGCACAATTTACTTGGTGTGTGGAAATCATTTATGGGATTTTTTCGAAAATATCGATCGGAATCTTTTAACTTTCTTCAATCATGCCATTCTTCTATTACCAAACGTCTTCACCTTTACTCCCCTTCCCCCACCCCCTACTAAAGACTCGTACGTGCAGGCGAATTATTGAAATAAACTTGAACCATATATGTTAGTCCAGAAATGACCTTGTTTACGCATCTGTCCCTTCGCATCTGTACAATCGACATGAACCCAGTAGACGTCTTTGTCACATGAATATTGTCTGCATTGTTCCAGGGACGGCCAGTTCAACTGCTGTATCATAAGTGTAACACTTGTGTTCTGATGGTTATATAGCTTACTAAGTACGAATCTAGTTGCATTACATTGTATCTGTTTTATTTGTTTCGCTTGTGCTTTTTCTGCTGCGGGTTCCAAATTGTTGAATTATACTGGAGCTTCGATCGTACTAATGTTTGGTAGGCACGTTTTTTCGCGCTTTTTCGACAGTGTCTAAGTTACGCTTCAGGAATCCTAAAACTATATGTAAGGAGTTCTGTTCCTAAGTATGGATGATTTTTGACAACTTCTAACGATATTCCTTCCATTTTGTAATCAAACTTGGAAACGTTCCCTTTTGTTGTAGTGTTCATGACTGCACATTTGTTAAATTGCATCTGCCAGGTGTTACGCCATTCTACCAGGGTGTTTAAGTCTTTTTGAAGTACTAAGTGATCTTCTGGAGATGTTATGGGGATGTAAACTACACAATCACCCACAAATAGACGTGTAGCAGAAGAATATATATTAGACGCAATGTCGTTTATAAACGATTTCCCGGTTGTACATGACAAGGAGTAGGGTCGCCTGTCTAACCTCGTGGCTTTTCTCTGGGTCCCCCGGTTTCCCTCCCACTGTTAAAGACCCCTATGCGCAAGCGAATTATTGAAATAAAATTTTACTGTGTTAGTCCCGAAATGACATAGTTTGTGTCCAGTGGACATTAAACCCCATGTCTCTATCTCCCCTTAGGTATTTCGTAGATATCTAGGGATTGCTGGTAATGATCTTCTAGGACTGGTGTTATATTTCGTTCGAAGTTTTTTCACGTTAAGACGATTTATACATTTATCCACTAGCTTTTCTGTAGCTAAATCTGTCTATTGCAGGTCTTTCTTTAGGCCTGAAATGTTATCTAAATTATTTATTAATTAGACATTAATTAACTTATCCAGACCATAATCAACCCTCGATGCAATCATTAGCCTCGGATATTTACTGGATCTTAATACATTTTGTGACGGATAATTTAACGTAAAAATGGTTAATCGAGACTTTGTTTATTATCATACCAACGTTAGCAATGACGACCGAGGCTAGCCTAAAATTGAATAGCTAATATATCGGTTCAGAGCGAAGCAATTTGACTGAAATTGTCAGCATATTTTGTTTTCATTATCTATTTTTCAACTATTATAGCGAGAACTGTCAGCTCTTTATCTAATCTTACCTAATGCCTCTTTAACTGTTGTCTAAAATTTTCTAACAGAGTGGAATTTTTTTATTCATGAATCATGTAGACTATGTTTCATTTTTTTCAAGGCTTAGCTTTGCTTATTGATTTCAATGAAAGAAATTTTAAAATTCTCTTCATTGAATACAAAGGTAAATTTATTTCTTCGGGGAGGCCTGAAATATATATATGTACAGCGTTATAGATAATGGTAGATCCACCCATTCAATATATGTCAGTCACATGTCATCATTCATACAGCTATGTAGGTATATTATAACTTACACGTATATCTAGGCGAAAGTAAGCCTATAATATCTTAGTAGTTAAAGTAAGCTGTGCATCAATTTCTAGGAAATCGTAGCCATTTTTTTTATTCGAAAGGAACTACATTTATGTTGTTGTCATTACCAGAAACAAATCCTACCAAAGAGTAAAAAACCGGCGTTAAATCAGCTGTCATCGTCATGGCGAAATTTCAACCTTTGACATCCAGTATAATATTTCGACCTGGTTATCTGTTTTAAAAAATGGTGTAACAGAGTGTGGGCAGTGCATATTTATTATTATTATTTTGTTAATGGCTTAAATGAAGTCAAAATCAACATGTACAGACAGGTGTTAAAATCAGAGTCTAAATAATTGTGATCAAGGTTGGATAATTCGGTGTATATCGCGCTGAAGTTGTATTGTTAAAGTTAACATATATATAGTAGAATAGACTGTTATGCGTGCAGCTAAGCTCTTTTATGGAGTCCATTATTTTTTCAAAGGTTCGGACTGGGAAAGGTTTATGACATGAAACTTTTGCTATTTCTGCTCATTCTAATTACATTTATTAAAGTGTGTTGCCCAAATAACTGTAATTGTGAATATCTGAGAAAAAGGGTTGACGACTTCATTGAGGGGATGGAGAAATACATAAATCGAACGAATGAAGAGACAAAAAAAATGCAAGAAAGAATTAAAGGACTTGAAAAACAAATCAAGAGAAAAAAATGGATCTATGAAGGTAATTAAATGAATTTTACTCTTATTCCAGTATATATTATATTTTTTTAATAATGCATAAAAATGTGTGGGTTTTTTATTGTATAATTGCATATCGCAAGATCGATTGTGGGGGTAGATGAGTGATTAAAATAAAGGAGTGGTGGGGTGCTTTTTTTTGGAAATTCTTTTAACCTATGACCAGCAGAAAGGCTCTTTGTTATAATATACATTTATCTTTATATCTACGTATTGAGGACAACTTTGTAAATATATCTAAAGCAAACAATAGTAGCTCCATACATATATATGTATATAATAGTCTACATTTTATAGTGTAATGAAATTCATGTCATAACTTTAAATCTTATAGTAAAGGTATATGCATATTTCAATAATGAAATTGCTTTATATTTCTGCAAAATAAACCAATGCCAAAACATTTAATACATTGACGTGAATTTTTATGTAGGCCTTTGTAAGTCAGGTACATAAAGTTGCGATACTTATAACAATTAGTCGATATTAATTTTATACCGATGTCGCGGTTTGAATCTGTGCCCGTTTTGGATCGGTTTCTTGTACCTGGGACTCGGGTGAAAAGGGATATAAGTCTATGTGGAACCTATAAGGGTCGGCAACTGATCTGTCGCTCTGCTTCACCTTTGTTTAACTGTCTTTATGCAATTCCCCGCAATAATGATTTTCAACAACATTTATTAGTATAAAACTCTAATTTGGTAGTGTATCCCTTAATTTGTTTACGTATATCTATTTTACCTATAATTATTAGAAAAACATGGTACTAGTTTGTGTATCATATAGACCTGCAAATTAATTTGCAAAAATATCATGGTTATGGCAACTTATTTTGAAAGACCCCAAGTCAAACCGGTCAACGAAAACATTAAAATAGCCGCCACCTTAATGAATTTGCCTCACCAATACTATTCTTAAATCAATCTGGAAGAGCAACTCTGTCGTAATTGACAAAGTATTTCAAAAGTTTACTTTTCCCCTTTATATTCTTTATTTTTATTACAAAAATGTTTTTTATATCTTTTTAGTTCATTCTTTTATTCTATTAAAAGAATAATTTATTTAAGACATGGGTATATATTACTGCCATAATAATTAGTATGTGATAAGAATGTGCGGGTGGTATTAAATATATTACTCAAGTCTGTATGTAATTGGGTTATCAAGGACATTTTCACTTAATGCATAGCTGTTGTGATGTCCTTATCGGTGATTAAATTGTCATGTATAGATTTCAAGATACCATGAATTGATCAACATTATCACATTTATTTAAAAATAAAGGACTTCTTTTATTAATATTACATTCTCCGATATCTTAAAGATGTTACTTTTTTATTTCCGTTATCTCATACTTTAAAGACAAAGATTAGAAATTCCCCAAAAATTTAAGTATTCGTTATCATTCATGATTGTCTATTTTATAAATAAACAACTATAATTTGTCTTCATAATAAAATATAACGATTAAAGGCCAATCTTCGACTAAAATATTCGGTGTCAGAGTATTGGCAAGGACCGGAAGCCAGATATTTACCATGGGTACCACTCCCCGGAGCAATTTATTATAGCAAGCAAGTTTTATCGTGTCGGAATTGCCAGAAATATTTCATGGTCCACAACTGCATCATTCAGAGCTGCCTATAGTTGCCCTCCTGTAATACTAGAATTAAACAAATAAAATATTGAATGTTTGGAAAATGCTTCCCTTTTTTGCATTTTTGTTGGGAGGCTGAAAGATGACAGGATGAAATCAATAGAAAACCAACGTAAACTTTAATTTGACCCAGTTTACAAAAAAAAAAACACTTTTGGACTGGAATTATTTTAAATACAAGTTCTTTAGGTTGGGTCTAAAACTCTTTTTTGTAAATTATATTCTAGGATATTGGGCCTTTAAATTTGATTTTTACTTTTAGCGTTTTGATGGAAACTTTCAATGGTTATTAGATGTGAAACGTGCCCTTGTCTATACTGGATGCAAGTTAAGTCCATAATCGGGAGCCCTCGTCGGCACCGAATGAGCTAGGGCAAGAGCTAAATCTGCCTATTGCAGGTCTTTCTTTAGGCCTGAAATGTTTTTTAAAGTATTAATTAGACATTAATTAACTGATCCAGGCCTTAATCAACTCTCGATTCCATCAGATTTCTCCGATATTAAATAGATTAGAATGGTTCAGCGATACTTTGATTTAATCAAATATGGAGGATCTTAGCTTCGATCAACCAGTACGGTGGTTGAAATTATTGCACACGTCTGTCAAACCTTCAAAGGCTATAAATATCTTCGCTTGCAATAGAGTAATTTGAATGAAATTTTCAAATTATTCATTTTACATCATCTACTTTCGAACTATTATAGCAAGAATGGCTAGTTCTTTATCTAAATCTTACATAATGTATTTTTAATCTAAGGAAATGTTAATGACACAATATGCATCGGGTCCCCTTGGGCTTGACACCGCTACTGTATGAGTGGGAGTGTGATGAGTTGCCTTATTAGATAAAATCACAATACCGATAAATTTTAAATAGTGCCGAATCAGCTTGTACGACACCCATTATATTCTGGAGCTTAAACTTAATTGTAGTTGACGATCTGTGAATGTCAAATGTGTCTCGTCTAATAGTTTTACCATTTCTGTCCATCAAACCATCAGAGAATTTAATTTAAACACGCCGTACCATCAAATATTGTATGTAAACAGTGTTTAAAAAAGCGACACATGTCAATAAGGTAAAGGACAGGGGTTTTATTTCATTAGTACTATGGTTTACTGCTTTCTCGTCCAAATTATTTATTTATAAGTATAGAAAAGGTTTAAATACCACCAGATCTCAAAACTCTAAGAATAGTATCATCCACACTGTTTATACGCCCACATTAAAAGGCACCTTATATAGTGAATGCAGAAGAACCGCGCCACACAAACAATTACAGAAGACAACCCCACGGACAAGACACACTACAAACAATAACAACAAACGCAAATGCCAAAGCGTGCGCTTTAGATCATAGGGTATGTCATTGAGTTTGGTGGTTTGGTTTTGACCCCGATTTTTTAAGTGACAAGATCGTGGGATTTCCTCCAATCTGATTAAAGGGACAATAACACTCTTGCTGGCTTGACAGCTCCAGAAAATAAAAAAAATAGCCTTATTCTAAGTACTAGATGTGTTAGTGTCCTACCTGTTGTGTAAATTATCCATTAAATCATATTTTACTTGTCCAGAGGGTTCCAAAATATTTTTAAATCCAAGTCACATTTGAAAAGCTTAACGTCAGGCTTTTCAAATCATTTAGTTGAATTTTTCCAATTTTTTTAAATTAGGTGTGTTAAGATGAAATTTGTATCATCAATTAATTGGAATATTGTAAAATAGTACAATTTGTTGACAGAATAAAGATTGGGACATATTATTCAGTTACAACAAGAGTAGTATTGAGCCTTTAAAAAACAAACCTATATTTCATTTCGTTTTTGTATACTTTCGTATACAGACAAATAAAACCAAATTTGAAGTATAAAAAAACGAAACGAAATAGGATCTGTGTTTTAATCAGATTGGATGTCCTCCAGCTGCTAAAGATTATTACACGCAAGCTAATTATTGAAAAAATAAAATTGTACAATATGTTAATCCCGAAATAACATAGTTTGTGTCAAATGTACATAAAACCCAATTTCCCTCAATATATACATGGGACAAAAACAGAAGTCCCCTTTACACTTTGGCGTGCACGTAAAAGAACCATAGATAACTGGAATTTGACGATGCGAAGACGGAAAAGTCGCATGGCAAATGGCCACCGGTGATTGGTGCAGAACAGTAGAACGTTAAACCCCATTTCATTCCATTTAATTTTATTTCTCTTTATCTGGTTATATCATGACAGAACGATTCCTTTATTACAGCAACCACTGTTGTTGATTATTTATATAAAACGTCAAGTCTGGTCAAGACACACAGTGCGATAAAATTCTGAAATCCTTACTTGACAAGCATGTGCTTTTGCAAGCTGAACTTGTCCACTACTACACCGGGTTCACAAATAACCCCCTAACACAGACCGAAAGAATTTCCGCCATTCCCCAGTTTTACTTTATGTGCTAATGATCACTCTCAAAGCTGCTTACGCTGTTTTGGATAAGACCAGCTATTTTTTTAAGTATGCTACTTTACTTGCCCAAACCAGAGGTTAATAAGAAGAGTAGTCGTCAACCACAGGCACTTGAAGGGATTAAAATAAAACTTATTACTACTGCTTGACTTTATATTATAGTATATACTATAATTAGCTACGAGAACGTAACTAAAAACGCTGAGATATACCGATGTGCTTGTTTTTAGCTACGATTGGATGCCTTTAGTTCCAAGTGGCAAACTCAATTTCTTTATTAATGTACTAGCAGGATACCCGGCTTCGCTCGGGGGTCATAACTCCGAAACCGGAAGTGGTAGACTAACGCCACCTGGTCTATGTTACTCCCCGGTCCGAGGTAACCTTATACCCCAAATTTCAGACTCGGGGCAGACCTAGTGTAGCCGCCAACCCCGAACAGACAGACAGACAAACGACAGTCCCAAATATATATATAGATGTACCATCTTAAAAATAAGTTAATTTTATACTATTAGTACTTATTACACATACGCAGTCCAATCTACTGAAACAACATTCATTTATCAGCAAATATTGACAATAAAGTAAATCAAGCGTTGTTTTTATCAAAATTGATTCGGACTTTCATAATTACGGCGTATTACTACTGCGCAACTCTGATCAGATTAGTACTTTGATTGGCTATTGCACACGAGGCCCCGCCTTTATGTGTTACAGACGTAATTTTAAAATGTCGGAAAAAGCAATCTACTGTCGCTTTGATTTAAAAAGAGGGGATTTGTACCCGTTTTAGGTAGGATTTATTGTTAATTGTAGTTGGGTGTGGCAGAAAAATTATAAATAACAATAATCGTTGT